GCATCCCCCCCCCCTCAATCTAACAAGTGGGACCTCATATATACATATAAATATAACATAAATAAATATTATATATTTATGTATGTCTATATTTACGAAAATAAGTATGTGTGTCTTTTAATGTGTCTCTCTCTCTCTCTCTCTCTTTATCTACGTGCGAGAGAGAGAGAGAGAGAGAGAGAGGAAACAGAAAGAGCCTTTGGAAGCGAATAACTTTGAAGGATGTAACTCATCAAATTTGACGATGAAATGGGCAAAGAAGGAATAATTTTCAGATAAGGATCAATGGTGGGAGATTATAGCATCCCCCCCCCCTCTCATCTAACAAGTGGGACCTCATATATACATATAAATATAAACATTTCTATAAATAAATTAAATATTTATGTATGTCTATATTTACGAAAATAAGTATGTGTGTCTTTTCATGTGTGTCTCTCTCTCTTTATCTACATGCGTTTTTTCACACACACACACATATGTGTGTGCGCGAGCGCGCGCGTGTGTGAAAGCTTCAAACACGTATCCTAAAATTCTGTAATGTTGTTACCATAATACTAAATAATGTAATAGTCATAGCAATCCTATTTCACGCATCCTGTAAAATTTCCCTTCACAAAAGCGCAAAGCAAACCAACTCTCCCATGTAATACGCATGAAGCAAAAACATACGAGACCCACAGAACCACACGTTTAAACACAGACACTCGCAGTTGCATCCAGAACCTTTCTCGAGCTATGCTAATCCTACCACAGTGTTTTGTTTTCAAGTTATTTAGATTTTATGCGACGAATAATACTGATCTACACGAGTAAGGACAGAAATGGAAAAAAAAATAAAATAAAAATAAAATCATGACGTATCCCCGCCGGGAATCGAACCCGGGCCTCGCGAGGGAGAGCCGCGTATCCTAGCCACTAGACCATACGAGATTTATTTAATTAATTAGATTGTGTTGATAATAAATTAAGCACAGCTTGTTCACTCAAGGAAATAATGCAATTTAAAAATATGTTGCTTCCCGTGCAAGGAATCGTCTCGCCATCAAAACATTTGTTGCTCAGCAGTGGTATCAGATTTAGCCTCTAATCAATGTTAATCAAAAAAAAAAAAAAAAAAAAAAAAAAAAATCGTGCCACAGTAATAAGAATCATGAAAACTTAATAAGCTTCTACGTTTCACATAATTGTGTCATGTAAACATACATATCCATGCGTGCGTGTGTATATATGAATGTAGCCTAAATCCAGCCTTTATTTTTCTATGCACTAAATACGTCACCAGAGAAGAGTACGGTGTAATACAGTGCATTTGGAGCACTATAGATCCACGGAAGTATGGCGGACTGTGGGCAACAAAATGCAAGGAAGACTGTGTCCCTCGGGGTGCGTTATAGTATTTCGTGAGGAAAAATGTCACAGAGGTAGGCCTACGTTAGACTGGTATGAGAGGAGTGCACTGCGGGGACACTGAAAAACACTTAACATTCGCGGAATATGATGGATTGTTCCAGCGATTGCCACAGGCGCCGTTCTTGTTCTCATGGAAGATGGAAAAGGAAGTGAGGCAGAGTGCACTGCAGCAAACGATGTGGTTCTCTGCGCAGATGAGGCTTAAATGCTGAGCCATCTGGTGCGGGAGGGAGGACGTAGAAAGAATAAATAACACGGTATTATCACAGTGATATCGGTTACATGAGTTGCTGCTCAGAGGCAGTGTTCCATTTAGATGTTTAGAAAAAAAAAACGGTAATATTTTAGGAAGAGAGAAGGTATTACAGAATTCTATGCTATACCTATAGGGGAGAGGGGGGGGGGGCATATACTAGCCTCTTGACAAAAGTTACATCAGGATTTCAGGTCATATTTTCATTTTGCTGAAGTCTATTCTTTTAAAGTGAGAAAGAGAGGGGAGGCAAAGAAAAAAAGCGAATGAATAGGAGAGAGAACGTTGTGGTATTTTGCGTAAGATGGTCTAACCAAGGGAGGTGTGGCACCTTTGGTGACGTCATCAGGACTCCCCGTGCTTCTCCCGAAATTCCGATTGGTTCTGTAGCGGTGGCACTGTAGAGACGGATGTCGTAAATTGCTGAAGCAATTAAGCTAAAGAATAAGGTCTTGATAAGGAGATATCAAAATTAAAGTTACTTAGCTCGACCAAGCAGCGTTGTTTCCGTGGGGCGTACCGCGGGGCCGATGCTGTACCTTCCTATTGTACTTTCAATAAATTCTTCTGTTATTCAGCAGACATGGAAAGATTTTTTGTTGGGTCTAGTCTCTGTCATGATTTTAGGAAGAAGTTTAACATGATTCTTAACTTCTGACAGACTTCTGGCACACGACATAATCGTCAGTAATTCCATGTCACGTATTTTATCCAAATGTTTCACAGTTCCTTTACCTTTACGCGCAAATCAAACTCATCCAATACGTATAAAGTAAAAGCATACGAGACCCACACAACCTCACAGGTAAGCACAGATCCCTTTCCAAGTTATGCTAATCTTCCATTGATTTATATTTTATCCTACGAAAGATAGTGATCTACATGAGTGAGCAACATGGAAATAAAAACCCGACCACGGTAAGAGAAGAAATATAATATCAACTTACAAGGAGTAAAAGTCAAAAATATGGTGTTGTCCCGTGCCAGGAATCGAACCCGGGTCTCGCGGGTGAGAGCCGCGTATCCTAGCCACTGGACCACACTGGATTTACTAGGTTAGCAATGGTATATATCACTTGTTTAGATGGGAGAGGAGTTGCCATAATCTCTCCCCCATTGATCCTTATTTGGAAAAATTCTTACCTTTTGCCATTTCATCGTCAATGTAGATGTGCTTCATCCTTCAAAACTATTTAGAGACAAGAAACTGCGCCCTCAAAGGATCTTTTTGATGCCATATTTCTTCAAAAATTAGAAGAAAAAAAATTAGAAGTCCGCAGTTGACAAGTTCGAGGTCTGCATTCCGCCATTAACACAAAAATAACTTCTATTAATACCCTTATACTCAGTTTGGCAGACGATTCATTTTAAAGAAAACTGATGCTATATTATACACACATTCAGCGGAAATACCTTTATAGTGGAAAGGGAATTGTGAGAGATAAGAGCGAAAGCAAAAGAGAAAGAAAATGGAATCATAGGGTTACATTATTGAATATAATATATAATGTAAAGGAAATGTCATTAACTCAATTTCGGTTGAAGCTGTCTATAGAAAATACGCAGTTATATTCTAATCGGTGTAGAATTGCAAGAATGTAATATAGATAATAAGCATCTGACACAAACTTACAAAATATATTTTCTTTGACATTATTATCTCAGTCGTACGCTGTTGATGTTATGAATATAGAAACAAAAACTATTTTCATTCTGTGTGAGCCGGAGAGGG